GCAACCTAGGCATGCGAACTAAGTATGCAACATGGCAATGCAAACAAGCATATAAGACATGTGACAATCAAGCTAATGACAAGTATGCGAGATGCAATGTGGATGGTCAAGCATGCAAGCAAGCATGTGACTTCATTCAATCATGCAACAACACATGGGGTAAATATGTAGCAACATGTTAAACAACCTAAACATGCAACAACACACAAGTATGCAAACAACACACATGGAAGCATGCACCAACACATAAACGGGGACTTAAACCAATTTAGGGCAGCCCTCAACTAGGCCCAAAACAGTGGCCAATGCTAAGGGAATGGGGCCAAATGCACATACAAGCATGCATGCAAACATGGTCCATCACTTAGGCATCAAAGAGCAACTTCTAAGTACACTTAAAAGAGGCTAAACATGGGCATATGGCAAGCAATATAAGCTCTGAAAATCACATGAGGATGGTGCCAAACCCACCTAAGCCAAGCAATCAAAGCATGCTAACAAGCCCAAAGCGTTGAGGCCAACCAAAGGGCTCAAACCATGGTGTAACACCCCATTTTTGACCGACCTTAAGACTCAGACGTCACCGATTGAGTGCTCGGTAGTGGTGCATGTTGTGCTCATTCAGAATTTTCAGAGTTTCGGCTGCGAGCCTTGCCTCCGGACTTCCGGACTCTTTCATACTTTGCCTCGGTTTGCGAACCAGGCTCTGTTTTTCTCTGTTTCTCTTCCCAAAGGGAGGGAGACGTCTCGTAGATCATCTCTCAGTGGCCGTAGGCTACGTTTCATGGTCGCAGGCCATTTGCCCGTTTGGAGTCCGAGTTTCTAGTTTTTGGAGCCGTTGGCCGTGTGCCTTGGTTCGGGACCACTTAACCACCTCCGGTTGCTCCGGTTTTTGGCATGCATCTTATTTGCTCCCTTTTGAGGACAACCTCTCTCTTTTTTACAAATGAAGCTACTACCCAAGCTGCACTATCTACAATTAGTTTGCGTACCCGTTCTACACAGGTAAGGGGTCAGACTCGAGAGAAGAACATAGCGCGTCTCATAGCAAAAAAAATTGGCAAAAAACTTCCTGTTTGGGTCCTTGTAGATGCCAAGGTGCCAGTAGGGCCGTATGCCACTCCATTTGCAAATGAAGTTGGGTTACAAATAAGGATGGCTGCACCTATCATTGGCGTAAGTAAGTGGGATAAGATTGACGAGATTCATAAAGCCCCAATCATTCAGGCAGTTCGGGTATTTGTATTTGTTGATTTGTAAATAGTTAGATTATCACCATTACTTGCATTTTAATATTAATAAAAGTATTCATATATTTGCAGGATAAATTTGAGATTGTTGATTATGATGAGGATGAAGAGGTTCGGAGAGCTATCAACAAGAAATGTAAAACCCTTTACAAAAGTTGGCATAACAAGATGAAAACACATTACTTGAAGTTGGTAGAAGCTGGTGTTGACCCTTACACTAAGCCCTACAATGGGGTCGACCATGAGGCTTGGGTACACATGATTAATCATGTGTGGCTTAATAGTGATCATCAGGTAAAACTTCATAAGTTAAAGAATCATGTTTCAATTTCAATTTAATTTTACTAATCAATTACTTTTGTAGGAATTGGCTGAAAAATGGAGGAATAGTCGATCAAAGTTACCATGTAATCATACAATGGGCTCTAAGTCATTTCAAGTTGCAATGTATAGAGAGGTGATGCATTTAATATATTTAAAAGTGTGATTGAGTTAAATTTAATTATGTATACTTACTTTTAAATTGACGGAATTAGGGTACCGCAAAGGTTGACATTGTAGATTTCTACAAAGATTCCCATTGGAGCAAGAGAAAGGCGGATTGGATAGCCCCAATATGTGGTGAATTACATGTAAGTATGCCAATTAATATAGTTACATATTTATGTAATTGAATCTATTTGTTTAAGTTGGTTGCAAATTGATAAAAAGCTTTGAAAAAATGACGTGAAGAGTCTTTGGAGCCTGGGGCAGTACCTTTAACTCAGGAGCAACTGTCAATTGAGGTTCTTGGAATGAGTAAATCGGGATACATAAAGGGCTTTGGAGTTGGTCGAAACCCATCCTCATCCAAATCTTCTGTTAGTACACAAGCACATGTTGAGGTGGTTTCGAGCCTGGAAAAACAAATAGAGTCATTGAAGAATTTGGCTGATGTCCAGCAACAACAAATTGCAGCCCAGAACCTGGTAACACAAGAGCAAGCTAGAAAGATTGAAATGCAAAACAAAAGGTTTGAAGAGATTGAAAATTTTATGAGGATGTACAAGGATTGGGCAAACATGCAAGTTGGTCAAGAGGATTGTTCATCAGAAGAATTTTATTGATAGCTTGCTCTGTAAGTATACTTTTCAGAATTTAATTTTCATATCACTAAAAACACTTCACTTAATATATTGGTTGATCCCTCTTCTTGATTGCTGCTAGTTGATTATATTTTTAGAAATTGAAAATTGTGAGTTAGATGAATCCAAGTATTATTCACCTATTATGACACACTACACTAGTATGTGGGTTGACACTAAATTCTAATTTTTCTTCTTCTAAGTTCTAACTAACTTCCTCCTTTCTCAGCTATCTACCTATTGTCAAATCCCATAACAAGTAGCATTTTAAAATATGTTGAGAGGCCAAGTAAACCAAATTTAGATTCGGATTATGCTAAAACCAGTCTGAATTCAATCTGTTGAGAGGCCTATGCTAAATAAAGAAAATGAGATGTGTGGATGAAATATAGTTCGGGGAGAATGTGTGGGTTTAGAGAGGAACTAGAGAAAAGAAAATAAGAGTTCAAGAAGGAGACCAGTAGAGTTTAGGAATGAGAGTTTGAAGAAATGCCCAATGCGATTCATGAGTTGACATTAGCAAGTAACTTGCTTGACTTCGCCTATAAGATAATTGTGTTTCCTTTTTTCATGCGTATTGCTATTGTTCATAAACCTATTCATCTGTTGATTCAAATGATTAATATCTTGCTTGAATGTGCTTTCTTGTGCAAGTCTAAGACACGGACAGAGAGACCCATTTATTGCTATCCATCTTTGCTGGTTTTTGACTTTCATCTTGATGCATTGTTAGCTTTGCCAATGAGCTACTAGTTGTTTTTGTTCTTTTCTATATCATGTGTATAGTAAATTGAGAATTGCCTGAAGCAACAAAATGGCCAAACTGGTGAGGCTGAATTTTCATGAATTTCCATTGCAGTAGTAATTTTGTTGTTGTTGTTGTTGGAGTGTCAGTTAACTTATGTTGCATTCGGTGGATTTGGGTGCCAAAACTTTGAATGAGTGCAAAGCATTCAAACACAATTCTGAAATCTCCTTTTGGGGAGTGATTGGGATAACTTTTTGGGATACTCATGCCACCGTTCGGGGAGCATCAAAGGATTACATTTTGAATTTTTGGATATATTTTGTGATAGGTTTTTGTTATGAATTTGCAAGCTTGGAAGGTTTTTTGGATTGGCAATGGATGAAATATTGTTCGGGGAGCATCAAAGGATTACATTTTGAATTTTTGGATATATTTTGTGATAGGTTTTTGTTATGAATTTGCAAGCTTGGAAGGTTTTTTGGATTGGCAATGGATGAAATATTGTTCGGGGAGCATCAAAGGATTACATTTTGAATTTTTGGATATATTTTGTGATAGGTTTTTGTTATGAATTTGCAAGCTTGGAAGGTTTTTTGGATTGGCAATGGATGAAATATTGTTCGGGGAGCATCAAAGGATTACATTTTGAATTTTTGGATATATTTTGTGATAGGTTTTTGTTATGAATTTGCAAGCTTGGAAGGTTTTTTGGATTGACAATGGATGAAATATTGTTTGGGGAGCATCAAAGGATTACATTTTGAATTTTTTGATATATTTTGTCATAGGTTTTTGGTTATGAATTTGCAAGTTTAGAAGGTTTTTGGGCATTACATGTTTGAAGTTTGGGATTGTAAGAGATTTGTACTTAAATTGGATGTTTTGGATTTGATATGTTGTTTATATTTAATATGGTACTACTTTTGAATTAAGTTTATATTTTGGATGCTTTGCACAAGTGTGTTAATTTGAATTATATTTTGCTTATGTTTATAGGTTTATGAATTATGTATTGAACAGGGAAATTGTTAAAAAAAATTATAAATAATGAATTTTTGGTGACAGGTTTTTTTAGTTGTAAATTTACTTTTGGTGACATTTTATTTATGTTGCTGAAAGTATGTGTCCATAAATTTTTTAGCAACCCAAAACTTGATTGGTCGCCAAAAGTTTTAACATTCAACAACCAATTCTTTTAGTCACTGAAAGATATTTTTAGCGACGCATTTATATGTCGCTGAAACTTAACATGTCATCAGCTGAAGGCTACTTTTAGTGACTAAATGTTAATTTATGGCGACGAAATTTTAGTCTTTTGGCGACGGAAATATTTGGTCGCCAATTTATTTATAAAGGCAACCAAAATTGATTTGGTCGCTGAAGCACTTAGTGACAGGGCTTCAGCGACCAATTTTGTTCATGTCGCGGATACTTTCAGCAACCAAAATTACACTTTTGGTGACTAAAAAACAGGTCGCTAAAAGTGTTTTTTGTTGTAGTGAGAAATCGCATTATAAAATGGGTCAAAAGTATTACATATAGATATACAACAACAATCTTACATCCCACAAACAAAGCATTAACAGCTAGCCTCATAATATAATGATAACAACAAACAAAGATGTGCAGGAAATCTATCCAAGAGTACTTTGGCAAGGAAACCTATATATTCGATGACTATGCAGCATATCAACACTACCATAAGATGCTAAACTAAAGAAAGATCTCTGTCTTTCAAATACACAATATTTCCTTGGTAATTTCCTATCTCCGTACTTCACAAAGCTTCTCCTATGAATTCTTCACAGGATCAAAAATAGGTGTATCCACCAAATAATAAATGGTCTGAGAATTTCAATGGTACTCAATTTAACAATGCAAATTTTTATTGTCAAGGAAAGTGTGGATCATGGTTTTAGGTCAAAATTTGCTTCCAGTAGTGAATGAACATGGGCAAGATAAGACACCTTGTAATCTGGCTTAAATTCCATATCTGTGTATTCGGGAGAATCATACCTCCCTGTTTTGTCAAGCAAGCATGTAAATGCTCCCACTCGTTTCCCACAAGCAACCTGCAAAGACCAAGTAAAGGAGCTTTAATTTAAACAAAAGCATGTTTTGATTCAAACAAATTTGATAAAATTTTATCAAAAATGAAATTAAAAAATATATATATACAAAAACAGCACCTCAAAATGAATTAGAAATGTTCTTAACAAATATGGTGCAAATGATGGAGAGAGAAATAGAGCAGAACTCACATCATCTTTAAGGTTATTCCCAACCATCATTACTTCATTAGGTTGAACTTCCCAAACGGAACAGATATGTAACAGTGGTGCTGGAACGGGATTGATATATATTTAAGGGGGTCATCTCAGCCATCTATTTAAATAGACAAATGAATCATAGTCATTGAAATGTCTTAGTAGGACAATTGTCTCTAACATATTTTCAAAAACCGTTCTGTCTTATTATATAGATATTGTAAAATATACTTAATTTTTTTTTGGGACTCCTGCGTGACTAACTAGGCACTAATCAATTTGATTTAGAATTTTAGAACATGCAATATGTATATTTTGTCATAGATAAAGACAGGTGAAGAAATCATGTGTCAAGTGGATTTAATTAATTTATTATGCAGTTGTAATTAGTTTATTATATTAAAGTAAACCTTAAATTAATTTAGAATATGATAGCCTAATAAAGCCAACTGGCTTTTACCACTTAATTCAATAAATCTGATTGTTTTATTCATATACGTACTACTAATGGGAATTCATTTTTATTTAACTAATAAGCATGTTTCATTTTCATTTTTATTTTTATTTTTATTTTTATTTTTATTTTTATTTTTAAAAAAGAAGTTTCTTTCAATTTTATTTTTCTCATTTAAAAAAAAAAAGAAAGTCAAATTTCAAGTGGATAAAATGTCATTGTTAACAATGTTTATGAACAACGTTGTTAAGATTTGACAACCTTTTCATAAAAATAAAAATAAAAATAAAATAACTATTTTGTTTAATCATTTTAGGCGACCAAACTTTTGGTCGCCAAAGATCAAAAATAATTTTTTTTATTTTCATTCGGCTACCAAACAATTTAGTAGGCAAAAGTATGCATACAGCGACTAAAATGAATTTTGTCGCAGAAAACATATTTTTGGCGACCAAACTTTTGGTCGCCAAAGATTAAAAATAATTTTTTTTATTTTCATTCGGCTACCAAACAATTTAGTAGGCAAAAGTAGGCCTACAGCGACTAAAATGAATTTTGTCGCAGAAAACATATTTTTGGCAACCAAACTTTTGGTCGCCAAAGATCAAAAATAATTTTTTTTTATTTTCATTCAGCTACCAAACAATTTAGTAGGCAAAAGTAGGTCTACAGCGACTAAAAGTACTTTTAGTCGCTAATGGAGATATGTTTAGCTACTAAAACTTTTTTTAGTGGCCAATTGTAATATTTTTAGCTACTAAATTTATTTTAGTCGCGAATAATCAACATTCCCCTACTAAAGCCGACTAAAATTAATTTTGGTAGCCAATTCCCACACTTTTGGTGACCAAATTTGTTTTGGTAGCCAAAACTAATCGCCAAAAATGTGTTTTCTTGTAGTGCTCATTGTCATTTGTACAAAATAAAACAAAACTTGAACCATTTATTATGAATTTCCGAACCTATGCAGGGGTCATTGTCCCTCCCTACCACTTCGTCCGCTATTAGGATGATAGTAGTGACAAGTGGACAGAACTTTTACTGCCCACTTGACATCTTATTGACATTTCACTACAAAAAAATTGATTTTTGGTGATGGCAAAACGCCGTCGCAAATACCCCAAACGTCGTCTCAAAAGGTTTTTTACGACGGCAAGTGGCTTTTTGCGACGGCAAGTGGGGGGTCGCAACAAAGGGGGTTGCAAAAGGGCTTTAGCGACGGCATAACGCCGTCGCCTTTTTTTTGCCATGGCAAAATGCGTTTTTTGCGACGAAAAAATTCTGTCGCAAATAACGCGTGAAAATCTAAATTTTTTTGAGACGGCACTGTGTTGCCGTCGCTAAAAAGGTCTTTTGCGATGGCAAAAACTACCGTCGCTAAAGGTTTATTTGAGACAACACCTAAGCCGTCGCTAAAGGACTATTGGCGACGGGAATAAAACTGTTGCTAAAGGCATTACGTTTCAGCCAATTCCCTATCTTTTGCGATAGTAAAGGGCCGTCGCAAAAAACCCTGGTTCATTTTTTTTTTGAAACGGTGTGTGCTACCATCTCAAAAAAAAAAAAAACCTGTATTAAAATTATTAAAAATATGAAAATCACTTGTATTAAATGAAAAATAACTAAAAAAAAAATCGATAATTACATAATAATATAAATACATACATAAACAAAAGTTGGCACATAATGAAAATTCATAATGTTGTTCCATTCATAACAATACATAAATAAAAATTCATAACAATAAAAATTATCCCACTATTTAAAATCTGATATTTAAAGAAGGCTACTAATCAATTGTAATCTGGCTCAACCTAAAGAACAGAATAATACACCATATCAGAAACTACAATTGTTTTTGCTTACATGATAGCAATGTGTTCCACTCTGCCGGGAACAACAAATAAATCAAATTGATATTTAAAGAAGGCTACTAATCAATTGTAATCTGGCTCAACCTAAAGAACAGAATAATACACCATATCAGAAACTACAATTGTTTTTGCTTACATGATAACAATGTGTTCCACTCTGCCGGGAACAACAAATAAATCAAATTGATATTTAAAGAAGGCTACTAATCAATTGTAATCTGGCTCAACCTAAAGAACAGAATAATACACCATATCAGAAACTACAATTGTTTTTGCTTACATGATAACAATGTGTTCCACTCTGCCGGGAACAACAAATAAATCAAATTGATATTTAAAGAAGGCTACTAATCAATTGTAATCTGGCTCAACCTAAAGAACAGAATAATACACCATATCAGAAACTACAATTGTTTTTGCTTACATGATAACAATGTGTTCCACTCTGCCGGGAACAACAAATAAATCAAATTGATATTTAAAGAAGGCTACTAATCAATTGTAATCTGGCTCAACCTAAAGAACAGAATAATACACCATATCAGAAACTACAATTGTTTTTGCTTACATGATAACAATGTGTTCCACTCTGCCGGGAACAACAAATAAATCAAATTGATATTTAAAGAAGGCTACTAATCAATTGTAATCTGGCTCAACCTAAAGAACAGAATAATACACCATATCAGAAACTACAATTGTTTTTGCTTACATGATAACAATGTGTTCCACTCTGCCGGGAACAACAAATAAATCAAATTGATATTTAAAGAAGGCTACTAATCAATTGTAATCTGGCTCAACCTAAAGAACAGAATAATACACCATATCAGAAACTACAATTGTTTTTGCTTACATGATAACAATGTGTTCCACTCTGCCGGGAACAACAAATAAATCAAATTGATATTTAAAGAAGGCTACTAATCAATTGTAATCTGGCTCAACCTAAAGAACAGAATAATACACCATATCAGAAACTACAATTGTTTTTGCTTACATGATAACAATGTGTTCCACTCTGCCGGGAACAACAAATAAATCAAATTGATATTTAAAGAAGGCTACTAATCAATTGTAATCTGGCTCAACCTAAAGAACAGAATAATACACCATATCAGAAACTACAATTGTTTTTGCTTACATGATAACAATGTGTTCCACTCTGCCGGGAACAACAAATAAATCAAATTGATATTTAAAGAAGGCTACTAATCAATTGTAATCTGGCTCAACCTAAAGAACAGAATAATACACCATATCAGAAACTACAATTGTTTTTGCTTACATGATAACAATGTGTTCCACTCTGCCGGGAACAACAAATAAATCAAATTGATATTTAAAGAAGGCTACTAATCAATTGTAATCTGGCTCAACCTAAAGAACAGAATAATACACCATATCAGAAACTACAATTGTTTTTGCTTACATGATAACAATGTGTTCCACTCTGCCGGGAACAACAAATAAATCAAATTGATATTTAAAGAAGGCTACTAATCAATTGTAATCTGGCTCAACCTAAAGAACAGAATAATACACCATATCAGAAACTACAATTGTTTTTGCTTACATGATAACAATGTGTTCCACTCTGCCGGGAACAACAAATAAATCAAATTGATATTTAAAGAAGGCTACTAATCAATTGTAATCTGGCTCAACCTAAAGAACAGAATAATACACCATATCAGAAACTACAATTGTTTTTGCTTACATGATAACAATGTGTTCCACTCTGCCGGGAACAACAAATAAATCAAATTGATATTTAAAGAAGGCTACTAATCAATTGTAATCTGGCTCAACCTAAAGAACAGAATAATACACCATATCAGAAACTACAATTGTTTTTGCTTACAGGTGGTGTATATGGATTCTCGTCTTCTGCAGATTCCCTAAATGCCTAATGGCCACTCGATGCATCAGGAACCTATGATAGTCAATGCATAATGTGTTAATCATAATCAAATTTTATACATAGTGTTGTGTGAAAATTGAACTATCAAACAATGTAATTTATATCGAACCTGTCTGTTGGGATCCACACTCGGCCCCTGTGACACTAAGGCCATCATCTCAGCTCTCATCTGCTGTAAATGTGTAGCGAACTCTGCACGCAGCTTCTCCCTCAACTCATCCCTTAGCTCTGCACGAACCTGCTGGGTGATCTGAACAATAGTCGATGGTTGGGGTGTTGATTGTGATGGCCCAGCACCATCTTTATACATCGCTCTCCGAGGCACAGTTCTCCCGTATGTACGACAATATCCATGTCCGTCATGACCTACCAACTCATGGAAAATGGCATTCCTAGCCTCCAAAGTCCGACAATCCTCAGGTAGCATAGAGAGTTGACGATTAAACTCATCCTGTATTGCATAAGACATACAAGTATATGCCAAATTAAGATGGTTGACACACAAAAAATAAAAAATAAACTTTAAATACAATCAAAGGTGTTTGGAAACTACCAAGGTCTGGATAACATCTGGGTCATCTACTCGACGTGTCATAAGCCAAACATTCATCTTATCAGTAGACTCCCCCTTACTGGTCATCTGCATTTTTTTAGAAATATGAAAATTAGAATGTAAATAATTTGTAAATATTCAATGTTTATTTATATACAAAAATAAAACAATAAAATGTAAACCTCATGTCGTATCTGAGAGAAACTAGTACGCCCTGTGGTATGAGCTATGCCGTGAGCT